CAGCCTGATGAGCAGAGCAGACTTGCAGTCCGGCGTCCTCCATTTTTCAGCAGACCACTGATGAATCCCACAGTAGATTAGAGAAGCTATTTCTTGCCTGCTGCACAGTGTCGAGTGTGCATTACATTTTGTATCCCTAGCAGTTACCATTAGCAAAGACTGCTTTCTTCTAATTAGCATTGACTTGTGCCTTTCATCTTATCCCTACATTTCGAGACCAGCAGCTGTGCCAGCTCGCCTTGTAAAGCCCCCCAAAGTCCTTTATGCAGAAGTTGCCAGGAATTAACCCAGTACAGACTAAAGACAGTCCACTTCAGCCAGAGGAAAACACCCCAGTCGCAGACGCACAGGCTTGCGCCAACGGCCTCACATGCTGGAGCCTTCTCCAAAGCGCGCCTGCGCCCTCCCGGGAAAGGCTCTGTGGGAAGACTTGCCTCCAGCCCTCAGAAAGTCCCATTTCCATGTATGCAAACAGGCAGAGCAGCTGAAAGGTTATCTGCGCAAGGGAAACCTACAGGAATACCCAACACAGTGGGACGAAGCGTGCAAATCCACCCAGCCGAGCCTGGTAACTCGCGCTGGTTTATCACAAACGTACAGGAAGGGGGTGGGAAAAGGAAAAAATCCCACAACATCAACACCTTTCCCCTCTCTATCCTTGAAGTTTCCTTTCAGGAGAGCCCAGAAGACCAGCATGCTATATAAGCAAAGGTGCAAAAGAATGAGTCTAAGGGCAATCATTTTGTCTAGCTTTCTCCCTAAGTGAGATACAGTAAATCTTCCTTGTGTCCTGTCCATGGCATGTTGAATCCGACATGCTGCTCAAAAATCCATTCAGTAATGCAGAAAAGGGGGGGGAACTTCTTTTATTCCCCTTTTCAAACAGCCACCGTGGACATCAGCAGCTGCTCCTCATGCCCACAGGCTGCCACAAACAGCAAGTCACTGATGCGACTTCTTGTGCTAGGTTTTCCTTCCCTGAAAAGCAGCAACGCTTGCTGCTTATTGCAAGGGAGGAAAAATACATGCACATGTTTAGCTGGGCCATAGAAGAGAAGCAGCACTGGCCAGGGACCGTCCTGAGCACCCATGTCCCCGCTTGGCCCAGGCCCTCCCTCACTGCCCGGTGCCTGCAGGCCCACAGCACCGGAGGTGTCAAACCTGGCCCGGCTGCCCACACCAAATTCACTTTAAAACGTCATTTAAAAATCCTGATAAAGCACTAGAAAGCTATTTCCTCCCTAGAACTGGTTTCACTAGTGTCACCCCTACATAGGCAAGGGATACAGCCTGCTAATTAGACCATCATCTACTGGAGCGAGCGCAATGCCAGGCCGCCCAGCGCAGGCGACGCCGGTGAAGGAGAGCAGAGCGCAGGGGCATTTCCCCAGCACACCGGCAGCGCAGAGCCAGCTCCCGCCGCTGCTGTCAGAAGTGGAGGGAAATAAATTGAGAAGGAAATTTAGCTACAGCACAAATTTACGTTTCTGTCAAAGAAGAGTGGCTGACAGCTATTTTTGGAAACTGGTCTCCATCATATTAATTCAACGTCCAGCTGAAGTTGTCTCATTTGCAGCAAATCTAGCTGGTAAATATTAACCTTGGGCTTTGTTGAAATTCTCCTTGCAGATATTACAAGGGATTGGATGGAAAAGATGAAGCAGAAAGAGACAACTTCACAGCAAATGTCAGGCAGATCCTCCACATCACGGTTGTATTTACACAAAAACTATTGCAATACGCCACAAAGTAAATGGCATGAAGGGCCCACAGCTCATGCCTGGTAAACTTAAGGGTAAAAAGACATCAGTGCCGAGAAGCCTACCAAAAACAAAATAGGGATGGACAGGTGATCATCCACAGCGCAACAGGACTTCTCACTTGCCTGCCATGCATCTGCTGGAAATAGGTTTTAAGATCAGAGTAAGTGCAGACCAGCATCTGGCTACAGATATACGTAAGACAAGAAAAGAAGTCTAAATGTATTTACAGTGACAGAATCTCTCCTCTTATTTGAGAATAGATGTTAAACAGATGCTAAAGCTGCTCGGTTCCACCCTAGAGATGGCTGCATTTCAACTGTCAGTGAAGTGATTCATCAGAAACATGCAAACCCATGGAAGCCTGTCAGGTATGCTGGGGTTTCTTCAGAGAAGCAGTGCGATATAGAAAGATGGACAGTAAAAAGGCTCGACTTTCTCACAGCAGTAATTAGCAGTGCCGTAAATCCTATTAGTCTCTTTTCATCTCTCCTAATTCCAGTGTGAGGATACAAATGTTCTCTCAGCGGCAGGATGATTTCAGCACTTAAATCACGGTTACAAGGATACTAGCTTTATGATTTAGTTCAAACAGCTTCACCAGTTCAGTGGGAAGTAAAGCTTGTTCCTCCTGCAGAGAAGCCCGCACCCCCCACACCTCGCGGCTGCTCCGCGGCTGCCACCCGCGCTGCCGACCAGGCACAGCCCTGCCCGCTGCCGCCCGCAAGCACTGATCCCAGCCCCTCCACCACGCCAAGGGCGCCAGCAGCAGCGAAGCCCCCCACCGCCCCCAGCCAGCTGGGCTGGGGTCAGACCGGCCGAGGGCCACAAACAGCCCCTCTGCCCGGCGAGCGCGGCCCCGGGGCACTGGCCTGCCCCTGCAGAGGACACTGTCCTGTGCCCTGGCTTCAGAGCACAACGACGGAGGGCAGTGCCCAGCCGCGAGATGGCCTGGGGAAACTTCTTTGCTTCTGCCGTCCGATTTCCTTTTGATTTAGACCCGTGAAGCTGCTCCACACGCTTGGCCCTAAGCACCACCCTGGATCCATCCCAGATCCGGCCGGCAGCCAGGCCCCACGGGGTCACTGCATACACAGCCACTCCAGCAGTCGGCAGGGCGGACGGGAGACCGATTTCAGACACCAGCACGTCCCATGCTGCAGGTGCAGCCAGAAAGGCCTCAGAGAAGATGGAAGGATAAGGGAGAGCCAGGAGCTGCGAAGCGGCACCCAAGACAGCCTGGAGAACTGCCAGCTGCCCCTGGCACAGGATGGTGGGGGGTCAGCCCCCAGGCTGCCCCTGCTCCCCAAAGCGGTCCTTGAACAAACGCAGGGTCCAACCTCTCATGGCCACAAGAGCTGTGACAGAGACTGTGGCCAGGAAGTTTCACAGACAAGGAGGATCCAGCAGACTCACACCCGCTGAGCCCTCCAGAGGCACCGCCGTGGAACCACAGTGGTGGAGCCAGATTTGCTGTGCCATCACCTGGCTGTTTTAACATCCCCAAACTCCCACTGTATTTACCTGCCTCCAGCTCAAGGGCTTTTGTCCTCGTCGAAGAATTTCCGCAGCCCTGGATGCTTTCATCAGAAATCTTTTAAAGTTATTCACTTAGTGCTATGCTAATGCAGGGCTCTAAAAAAACCCAAAAACTTTCAACCCTTAAAAAATTATTTTCTGATATTTGACCAGACGTTAGACGCTGTTCCACAGAGAGTGACTAATGACCTGCTTTCTGTGAGAGAGGGAAGAAAAACTTAATTATGTCCATTAAATTACTTCAAATATTTTTCCTTAGAGAATATGAATTATTTAAACTCAACACAGAGAAACCTGAAACATTAGCAAAAGCCTTCTGGGACTCGCTATGTAAATTCCCACTCCAAACAGATGGGGAAAGTATGTTGAGCTGCCACGCAGCCACAGAAGCAATGAACAGCACTGAGATTTCAATTCGATAAGTTTTAATAAGGTCTTCTTAAGGAGGGCACCAAGCAAATAGCCACTACCCGGAGCGCTGGGAAAGGCATCCCACATGCTGGAGGAAGGCGGCACAGTGGGCACAATTTAAATCTGAAAAGCCTCAAGGTAGCTCCTGAAGGACAGACCTGATTCCTCAGGAAAAGCTCACTCTCCTACCGTACCACACGCCTTAAGCACAGGGGAACTGTACCTGTTTGGGACTTATTCAGCTAATTTCCTCTCAATTCATCTTCTACCAGGTGAAAAGGTAGAGGTCCAAGGTATCACCTGGACACCAGGCATGGGCAGTGAAGGGTGTTTTCAGGCGTATCTTACTGAAGAAAACATCTCTTCTCACACATCCCAGCTGGTGGCCTGACCTCTCCCTCTGCCCCAGAGGAGCCTTGCTAACAGGGCAGCGATGTATACTGCCAGTTAATAATTGATAGCCAATTACACCTTTCAGAGAAGAAAAGCCCTTGGGTGCTGATGGACAGAGGAACAGCCGTTCCTGGGGCAGGAGATGCACACCCACCACCCCGCACCGCACGCAGAGCGGCCTCCGCTCGCCAGGGACCGCTGCCGGCTCGTGCTGGCACCTGACTCGGTGCAGAGGCAGTTGAGACCATGCTGAGCTACGATGAGGTCCTGACCATGAAGCAGGAAGGTGCCCGGGAGGAGGCATTAGCCCACCTCTCTCTTCTCAGAGGCTCACACACTCCGAGAGGAGGAGCACGGCAGCCCATATCCCGCACTCTCAGGGCTGATCCCATGCCTGGGTCTCACCTGCCTTTGAAAGAGAGATGGAGGTGGTCACAGCACCAGGTTCATTAGAGGGATACCCGTTAAGGTAGAGGTTATATCCATTTTTACAGCTGTCATTAAACATAACCTTGCGAGCTGTAAAGTCATTGAATTATTAAGTTGTGTCTAAAGCATGACAATGGGGATACTAATGTTCTAGAGTAATTTTATAGTTACAGATAAAGCTGTGGGAAATGCCTGACGGTGTTCAGAGCTTTGGCACTTCTGCCCAGCCAACACCGTGCTGCAGGGCAGCTACCAGCAACGCACCCCATTTACCCAATTGCCACCCTTCAAATTAAGGTCTGGCTGTTAACTGGGGAGCTGCAATCAACCAGAAGAATCATATTGCTGACAAAAGGCAATTCCACTTGTCTGAGCTGTGCTCAGGCACCAGGCGGACTGGAGCAGTCTGACAGCAACATGGACCGAGACAGACAAAAACTGCCAGAGGACACCAACGGCCACTTTTACCTCTGCATCCCCCATCCTTCTCCTCGAAGCCAGGACCACACGTGCACTTCCCTATGGGGACCAGCCACTCGCCCTCTGCGCTGCAGTGCATCCTGGGGGGATTATCCACGTCCACTTCGGCGTGAGTGACACAAGTGCCCTTAACTTCCACCAAAGTCGCAAAGGCCGTCTCCGCCACCGTGTCCGGAAACACGGCCAGGTTCTGCATGGTGGCAAGGCACTTCTTGTAATAGACCCGCACAGAGACCAGCGCCACGCAGGCACCCACGTCCTGGAAGCCCAGGTGGAAGCCTCTCTTGCTCAGGTGCCCAATCTCCCTCAGCTCGGTGTTCAGCTTCATCTTACGCTCGCCTAGGTCCCCCTGTGTGAAGCTCTCATCAGCAGCAATGGTGTCGATCTTGGTGTGCTTGCTCTCATGGACGCTACGGCCCAGGTCGGAGTCAGACTCGACGTAGTACAGATTGAAAGTCTCCTTGCAGGTGCCCATCACACCAGGGATGCTGTTGCAGTCCCGCAGGGTGAACTTCAGCTCGATGAAGATCCTCTGGCCGTCGCGCCTGGCAATCCAGCCCGTCTGCAGCCAGTTGTTCTGGTTTGGCTCCATGACATTGCAGACCTGGTACGTGCGTATCGGCTTGTAATTCTCATCCACGCCGCTGATTTCTTCCCACTGGGGAAAGAACACGAAAGAGCTGTAACAGCTCAAGAGCTGTCGTGAGCAAGAACCAGCCGCCCCGGCAGAAACACGACGATCAGTATAAATATCACCACCACAAGCCTCTCCACCTACAGGCCATTATATCATAGGCACTAAAAGTCCTTAGCCCACCAAACCACAAGCTGTAGTAACACAGCAGTGCTGCTGGACCACTTAACACCTGAGCTCTTTGCAGAGGTGCAAACATGGAGACACAACCAGAAAGAGGGCACTGACATCAGATCTTCTAAAACAAAGTCTAATATGAAACCGGACACATCATCTGCTGAGAAGCCAGAGCCTTTATCTCCCACATGCCCCTCAGATTTTCTGTCCCTGGGAAGGTCCATCTGCACAGCATTACCACACAGCCTTATGCCAGATGGGGTTGGGCTACCGAGAGAAGTCAGAGATGGCCAAGGAGATGTGACACCAGTCACACCATCACACAAGGACAAATATCTTCATGGCAAGCATGAAGCAGCTTCTCTGTCAGGAGAAGTTTTAGCCAGAACAGGACAAATCCTCTAGCTGCAAGTGCAATGGTATTTCCCCAAAGTTACCAGCAGAGATTCTGATCAATGAAATGATGATTCAACCCTCACAGCCTTAAGGATGACCTGGCAACTTCCCAAAGCAATTCTTTCTGGGGGTAAATTTATGCAAGATTGCCAAATGTACCCAAAACAGAGTTTCTTCTGCGGACTAACAGCTGGGCAATGCAGATGACTCCAGGATCTATCCACTATTCCCTCTGAACGGTTTGTTTCCATTCTGGAAAATGAACCCAAAGCAGCAAGGAACACAACTCTGACTTTCCCGACACACTCTCCTGAAAGCAGCTATAGACTGACCCTGGCAGCGAAGCAAGGACCTGATAAAACACACCCTACGTGATGCAGAGCTCCTGATGATCCCACCCCAGCCACAGCCCTCTTCCAAGAGCTGAACTGATCCCCAGGAGCTCGCGCTGGCGTGCAAACTACAATACAAAGCCGTAACTGGCTGGTGTTTATTTGCTTATTACAGGAGTGTAAAATTTGTTTTAAGGAGCCGTTCCACATTGGTTGTACCACTCACATAACCACTACTTCACTTCTCGCTCTGCTCCCCGGAGTGCCCAGCACCGAATTTTTTTGCCCGGACCCCCCCCCCTGCCACAGCTCAAGGAGAGCCTGTGGCTGCCAGCCCCCTCCACCAGCTCCACGTGCAGACTTCAAATACTGCTGACCACCGAAAGGCAAACCCTCTCTAGCAGCGCAGAGGGACGGCCCCACCTCCACACTTACCCCGTTTGACGGGTGGGAGGTCCAGCCCAGCTCCGCTTGCGATTCCTTTGAGTCCAGCAGGACGACTGCAGGGAAGACAACGCATTAGAAAGCAAACTCACTAAGGCAGGAAACACCAGTAAATATCCACCCGGCCCGCCCGTTGGGAAGCTCAGTGCCGTGCACCCCTTCCCGGACACCCACCTGCCTGAGCGGTGGGTCAGGTCCCAGAGTGCGGGGAGCAGCTCCCGCCCCAGCTCCACCCGCCATCGTGTCATCGCATGAGCACCAAGCACTGCACCCAGCAGGACGCACGCTGCAGAGCTCTAGGCTGCACATCCAGACCAGACCTCGCAGTTACGCGATTAGCACCCTAACCTAACGAGGATGACGCCCCAGGGAAGGCTGCAGTCCTTTCCAAGGCACTCTGCAGGACAATCCCTCCGACACCACCAGCCAACGCTGCAACTGTACCGTGTCCGTAGCATGCGTATCTCCTGGAACTGAAAGGTACTGGCAGCTGCTTTGAAACACAAATTTCCTTGAAAAGACTACATCCAATTTCCACAAAACGGCTAATTCTCTGTTTGACAGGAAGAGGTATTTCCCCCAGATTCACGGTTTCACGATCCTTCCACAGCTAGCCAACAGAAGCAACCCCTGACTGTCAAGCTGCGTCTCGCCTCAGATTCAAGACCCCCGCTAACGCCCGTGTGCGGAGGGCGCGTCCCTGGCCGGTCCTCCGGGCCACTCTCCCCGGCGCTGAGGCAGGACAGGTCTGCCCAC